AGAAGATATATTGTTCATCACTATTTGAGGCACCAATCATTGAGTCTTTCCTTTAGGCTTCATTATGTTTTCTTAGGTAACACTTTTCCTTCAAAGGTTAAGTTTGAGAAAGGATAAAGGATTTTTTTTCTTAACAAAATGGAGGATTTCGCTCATTACTTTCTCGCTCGTAAAGGCTATCGAGAGGATACATCTTTGAAGAAATTATATCTAGCATATATCCGTTATGTTTTGAAATTTGATCATTTTTGTAAAAATTTATTTGAATGAATTTGCCATTATGCTTCCTTAATGGAGAAAGATGCTAATGCCAATAATACTTTCAAATGAACATCTCTTGATTTCAAATCGGATAATATCAAATTATAAATGAAAGCTTAAGCATTCTTTCAATCAAATATACGTCTTAACTCATGCATAACCAAAATATTCAAAACATAGTTTTTAAGATCCGAAAAAATTAAAACATTTGCGGATCGACGAGCATGCATCATCACCATATCTTTTAGGCTCACACCATCTCTTCATTCCATGCATTAGCAATCGTATGGTTTGGGAGTTGATCCATGCTTACATCACTAATATTTGAAAAACTATCTAGGTTGATTCGTCCTTTCTTAATCAAAGCCAAGAGCCTCTTTTTGAAAGCGGGATAATTATCGCAATGTTCACTTTGTTGGTACCATACGGGATAAGGAGGGAGCTTCGGTTTGGTAGGAATTGGGGTAATCGAGTCCGAGTACTCGGTAGATGTTCAAACATCTCACCCATTGAGATAGGTAAGGGTGGTAGTTGCTCGAGTTCTTTTTTGTAGTCTTGGTTGTGAGTTAATGGATTTTGAAAATGTGTAGTAGCTTGAGGTAATTAACTTACTTGGTAAGTTTGGTGAGGTATGCGGGATGGGTTCGATTGATTTGATGGGTATATTTGATTCATGGTGTTTGTTGGGCTAGGGGTATAATGGGTGAATGAAGGTCTTTGGTTGTAACTATCATGATTTTTATGCTTTCTTTGGTTACTCATTCGATTTTTGGATGGATAAGATCCGAGTCCCAACTCGATGTATCTCCTCATCGGTTCTCTTGTTACCATCGCCCTTTGTCTTTTCGGAATCATCGAAATCTTTCCGAGCTTTAATTGCTTACTCCACCCTCTCGCCTATGATAACAATATCGGTGAAGTTGATTGAAATATTACCAATCAAATACTCAAAGTAGGTGCTTTGAAAGTATTCAAAAATATTGAGATTAACTCATATTCGATAATGGTGGATGGATTCGACCCGCTACCTCACGCCACTTTTACGCGTACTCCTTAACGGTCTCTTTAGCCTTTTTTCCCATACTTTGGAGATCCGAATGATTCGGAGCCACTTCCATGTTAAACTTGTATTGCTTGAGAAAATCATCGGCTAAATCTTTCCATCCTTTGATCTTGGAGCCCTCTAACCTCATATACCAACTCAATGTCGATCCGTCTAAGCTCTCATGAAAGAAATGTATGAGTAGTTTTTCATTGTGAATAACATCCGTCATCTTACTCGTAGTATACCCTCGAGTGGGTCATAGGACACTTGGTCTTGATATATTTAGCAAAATCCGACACCTTAAACTTCCTCGGGATTACCACATCGAGCACTAAACATATTTCAGCGAGCTTTGACGGGATCGTAGACATCTACCCCCTCTATTACCCTTAAGCGTTCTTCTAATGCCATCGATCCGTCAATACTTGGACCTTCGATTGCTCTATAACCGTGAGTTTCTTCTTCTTCGGTTGCTCTATAACTCGTGAGTTTCTTCTTCTAAGCTCTCATGAAAAAATATTTTTTATTTTTTATTTTTTAAAAGAAAAATTTAAAATTTTAATTAACTAAAATCAATCGAAACAAATTTAAAAAATTAAATATATCAAAATCATCGTTCGTCCCTAATAAATAGGAGACTCGTTGATACAATATTTTAATCATAAAAAAAAATCTCATGTTAAAATAAATTTCACAATTATGTATCTTCAAATTTTCTATCATACATATGTAAAAAAAAATTAAAAAAAAAAACTACAAAACACATAAAATAAATCAAATAGTTCAAAATTCACCTATATTGTAAAATTACCAAAATGCTTATAGAATGTTAAGAGTCACTACCAAGTGACCGTTCGCCATTCGGTGACCATTCGAGTGCGTGGACCACCTGTGCTTGTAGATCATATCGTTGCGAGTCCAAAGATGTGTTATCGACCGGAGACGACGTCGGAGAAGGGAAATCGAGCCTCCAAAGATTCGGTCGAATCTCCTTTCTTCATCGGTGATGAATCCGATCACCTTTCGGGATTCCAAGCATACCGATCGACTCGTGAGGTTGAGAGAAGAATTTCGTGGTGGTTAGGACCTCCAATTCTTTCTCGATTGGTCAATTTTTTCGAGTTTACCAAAACGGGTCAAAAACGAATTGAGTTTAATTAAATCGTTTTTCGGTGTCTTTAGGTTGAGATGTTTATATGAAAACACTCGGGGAGACCAACGATCGGATTTGTGGCATTACATATCGTGTTGGTGGTCGGAGTTGAGAGAAATAACCGGGTTTAAGTGCGGGTCGGGTCAAAGACATTTGATCTTTGATTTCTCTCTCCTCCGTGACTCGGTTCTCTCTCTAACCAATGTTGATGGACCGGTCTAGTGATGGGCTACATGTGGGTGTGGTGGTTGGGGTTAAAACCTATCGAAAAATGGTCGGATTGAGAGTGAAAATTTCAATCGGGTGAACGGGTAATCGGGTTTGGATCTTGGGTTAGGGTGTGTTCGGCAATTTGTTTTTCGGTTTTCGGTATATATTTTTTTGTGTTTTTTTTTTTTTTGTCTTTCTAGCTGCGTTTTTTTTTCGTCCCTCCCGCGAATTGGAATTCGAAAGCTTTTTATAGGCCAAAAACGTCCTAAAATTTGTCCCAAAATCAATTCAAATTTTAATTGGCAAAATCTTAATTTTGAGATTTTTCTAGCTAAAAATAAGGAGATTCCAATTTTAAAAAGATTTGTGAAAAATTTTAACAAATTTTTGAATGATTTTAGTGAGGTTTAATATTTTTTTCCTTTTTTTTTGTTTTTTTGTTTTTTTCTTTAAAGGAACCCAAAATTGGGTTATGAAAAAGGTTTTGTACACGGTTTTGGCAAATAATTTACACATTTTTGTACTAAATTTGGATCAAGGAAGAAGTGATATTTGTAAAAAAATCTTATATTTTTGGTGTTTCACATGGCCGAGAATTCTATTGAAATAAAATTTAATTTGTACCACTAAAAGAAAAATCTCCAGAATATTCTTAGATTTTTGTTATGTTTATCATTATCAAATAAATAAAAGTGCTATATTATGCATTAATCATTTTATTAAATTTTTATTTATTTATTTATACACACAAATACATCTATGTATATATTTTTATTTGTGTTAAAAAAATATCACATTATAATTGTAAGTTTAAAATTGTCATGTATATGGCCTTAATATGCTTAGCAACAATACTTATCAAACAATCTTATTATATTCATCACTTAATTTTCATTAAATACCAATCAGCTTGTTACCAACATATTCAGCACTTAATTATTTAATACTTAAAATTTAGTACTTAACGATTTAGTACTTAATTTTCAGTTTTATCAAACGCCACTTTAGTTATTTACGAAATTAAAATGTGAAGAACTAAATGATTAGCTTTTAAAATGATAAAAACTAATTAATTTGTTTTTCAAAAACGAAATGGACTAACTTATAATGTACTCCATGAAGTAATTATCACTTCATTGAAAAAAAGAATATGTGACTGAATTACATGAATAAAAACACTTTGCTTACTTTAAGCTAATAATGAGATTGGATGACAACATAGAATTGAAATTTTGAGTCAGGGATAGTAGTAGTAATAGCTTGAAGTGAGTGTCGGAGTTTCAACTTTAATTTCAAGAGTCACACAAGAATCTCTTTGATTCCTAACATCTGCTTCATGTGATAATCCAAAAAATGGATAGTGAAGATTTAAATGGATGATGTAACGGAGGAATATTGAATGTATAGGAAACACCCACTTTTGGCATGGAACACGATTTCAAATTTGTACTATGCCCTAACTTCTCATGTCATACATTTTTTTTGATAAGTTAATGCTTCAATTTTTAAAAGCTTGCCCTTTTTTTTTTTTTTTTGATAAGTTAATGCTAATTACAACTAAAACACTTTTTCTCGGCAATTCATTAATAGCTTTGCTATTTTAATCTTTCACTTAATATTTTTTTTTTATCTAAATATTGATTTATTAGCATTTTATGTAAAATTAATTTATATTACAGCCAAAAATCCATGAAATGGTAGAAGGATATATATATATATAACATTAATCTAAGAGATATATCAGAAAAATTAGACAAACACCAGATAAACTAGATAAATATAAAAAACAGCATCAAATCTAGAAAGACAATATCTTGATTTATGATAATATTAAAATGTTACACCTACATTTTCTATTGTTTTCTAGCTGGTAGTAAAGTCTTCCCTGATCAGGAAAGGGACTATAAAAATTGGAACCAATATGCATGGAATCAACAGCAACAGCCCTCAGACTTTTTATTTTTCTCTTTTGCATAGCTAATGTCACGAAATGAATAACTGGAAATGCTACCGACGAGTTATGTGTATTCAAAATCTAAAATGGTATTTGAATCGATGAGATGATTAAGAAAAGGAAGGATTTTGTGTGGCATTGAGGTCGTGAAATATTACAGGATTTTTGGCTTGTATAGAAATCAGAAACTTAATTTAATGATCAGATAGATCTTATGATCTCCTAACAGGAATTCATGACATTTTCACCTACCATTCTTCAAGTAATTGCAAAAAAATTCAAGATCTACGAATGCGATTGCCAGGAAAAGTGACAAAAATCTGCCCATAAATTCATGGTGTAGCTTCATCAGATATTGGTTTTAATTAGTTGAAAAGGTTGTCAAGGGACAAGGAATGTGGACTTGTCTAGTCATCTCACATGTCCCCATGTTCGAGCCTATTTCATTGCTGTCATGAGAGCGAAGGGAGTTCGTGTATCCTCATGTTTCAGACCTGTGAAGTACTAGCATAGTACCAGTGGATAGATGCGGATAAATCTATATAATATATTTTAACATTTTAAATAATTTAAAATTTTAGGCATAAAATAAAATTAATTAATACTAATTGTAATTTTTTTTAAATATGTTTTATGCAATATTTAATAAAATGTATATATTCCGTGATTGAGTTTAAATATAGTTTAGAAATATTTTTTATTTTGATCAATAAATTTATTTTGAGTAAATAATAAATAATGAAAAAAATAAAAACATAAAAATGAAAAAAGAAGTCGGGCTGGGCTCACACCAAGCCCTTTCGTATGGGCCTAGAGACAACAAGCCCACACAGCTAGGCTGAAAACATAGCCTAGCTATAAAAAAATACAGGGACTTTTTTGCATTAAGAATTAAAGTTAGGGACTATTTTATATTAAATTATAACTCGAAAGACTAAAATGTAAAAAAGTGGACAAAATATTCAAAAAAAATAGTTTTTTAAGAAAAAGGACGACATGGTTTTAAGTGAAAAAGATAGAAACGATGCCGTTTTGATTCACAATAACAAGGTTTAGCTACAGTGAAAGCATGTGCTATTTTAAAATATGTATAATATGTAAGTATACGTCTTTGATCGATTCCTCCTGCATTTAACATTATAAGTTCCTATACACGAAACATATATATATTTTTTAAATATGACTTAAGATCTTTCGATCATCTTATTCAATGAAAATTATTTTTTTTAAAATGAACATTTTGCACGTTAACTTGATAGGTTTATAAAAATAATTTTCTTCAAATATTAGAATAAATATTTAAATTCAAAAAGTAAAAAATAACGAGTAAAGCTCTATCTGTTACCATCAAAATTACCAAATTATTCTTTGAAATTATATACAATATATATTATGTTCGGAAGCTGCGTCCGAAGTTAAGAAAAGGATTTATGGTGCTAGCGTCCAAGGTTTAGGTGACCTTCTTCCTTACTTTTTTCTGACGAGGAAAAAAGCATATAATATTCACGGCTCCTGACTTTGTATCTGTCAAAATCAATCACACAAATTAGAGTTACTTTCCATTTGCCATGTGAGTATTCAACACTTTACTCTATCACATGGACCACATGTATAGACTGTTGTAGAACCAACTCAACAATTAATTAATTTAGAGACAAAAGTTCAAACATATCATTTTTTTTTTTTTGTAGGAATATAAAATTAACAAAAAAAAAATAAAATTATTCACACACCTAGTCTCTTAGCAAAACTAATTTGTTAGAATTTGAATTCATGATTCTTTATTGTAAGAGATCATTAATAATAAACTACAAACTCTTTAATATAAAATTAACAAGTTATTTTTTATTTAGCACGATAAATGTATATATGTGTGTGATGAAGTATGAAAATAAATATGAATCCACATATATCTAAATAATATTGTGTCCATATATATTTGTATTTTTCTTTCTGTGGCTATGCAAATTGAAAATTGCCCAACATTGCAGGCTATCCAAGACTATGTGAAGACTATAGCGCCACATATTTATATGGAACCTTTACATCAATTTTTGCAACTCTTTGACGTGATGAAGTTAGGATTAAGACTGTTGGTTAAGGTTTTACAAACTGTTCACTCTTTTCCTCCTATGAGGACAAGTCCAATTTTGTATTGTTTTCTTACAATTTACCGAAAATTACATACTTTAGTTATCAAAACATGCAGAGTCCTGCATTTGAGGCTATATATATACAATCATAATCGATGGTACACCATAACATGTGATAAGTTATGATTAATTAGAACTTATTACGTATGTTTATGTGACACTTGAGAGTCAAAAACAATAATAACATAAAAATAAAATTTTTAAATTAGATAAAAAAAAACTTAAAATCTTAATCAATAAAATTCGAATAGTACGTAATTTCGATATATGTAAAATTTTATATTTATATAGAAAACTACAAGTTGGCTAATAAGGAATCTCAATAAATATGAAACCTTATATTTATATAGAAAACTACAAGTTCGCTAATGAATTCGTTTGTTTTTTTTTTTTTTTTTTGTTGCTATGCAAATTGAAAATTGCCCAACATTGAAGGGCTATCCAAAACTATGTGAAAACTACCAGTTGGCTAATGAATTTAGGATCAAGACTGTTGGTTAAGGTTTTACAAAGTGTTCACTCTTTTCCTCCTATGAGGACAAGTCCAATTTTGTATTGTTTTCTTACAATTTGCTGAAAATTACATACTTTGGTTATCAAAACATGCAGAGTCCAGCATTTGAGGCCATATATATATATATATATACACACACATCATAATCGATTATTACAATAATGCAATAGAAAATTTTCATCCATAAACTCTATCACCTACTCAATCTTAATATGTGACAATCGTGAGCAAGGGACTATTTTTGAACGACACGTAAATTAACCAAGATCACAAACCAAGGCAAAAGGCCATCGGTCAAGGTTGCCTATCCATTTCACGTATTCAAGCTTCCAAATGGTTAGTAATTAGTTCTCACTAAAAATATATTAAAATACGAATTAACACATGTTAGAAGTTAACACCTCACATGCCAAAACAAATTGACTGCTAATGACATCCAACTTCTACAATTTATGGATGCGTGGCCCATCAAAACCAAAGATTTCCTCGTTCTTAATGTCCATGAGATTATAAATAACCTATTCCTTATAATAGTACTTAAGGACGTCTCTTCAAGGAATTGCAGCTGATTAGTGACATGTTGATTGCCGTAAGCAGCTCGGAACCGAAAAATATATGTTTGTGTTTTTCTTTTCAATATGAATCTCAGAAAAGTCCAACCGGTAGAAAGGTCCTTAAACTTTTTTTTATATCTAAATTTGGTCTTCTATTGTGTTAATAGGTTCTCAATCAAATTATTTCATCAGTTTCAGTCGATATAATTGTTCATTAGTCATTTAAAAATCACATAAGTTCTCTATTTTCGTATGAAATATATAAATTATTAAATATGAAAAAAAAAGAAGAATAAGAAGGGTTTATGTTTTTCTATATAATTCAATTTATCACATGAATTTAAAGTAATGCAAAATGGAATATTTTAAAGAATTTGATAGTTTTGTGTGTGTGTATATATATATAAAGAAATCAGATGAGTTTCGTGTGATTATTTAATAGTTTTGTTAACTGGAACTAACCGAAGGATGTAATCGAGCATACCATTGATATATTAGGGACCTAATCAAAACAAAAAATGGATTAGAGACCTGATCGAGATCACTCCTATAGATTAGGTGCTTTTTCAAAGTTTGCCCTTCTTTTTCCTTTTTTTCAGTAGAAAAATTAAACTCGTATCGATATGCTTAATTAAAGGGTTTGACCAGAAGGTATGTGAAATTAAGATGGCACCTACCTCCAATAATAAATGTTCCTAATTCCTGAAAGTTTCCTTTTCCACCCAAAATTTACCTTTCACACTGTAAGGCAGTACAAATGGCACGCAAGGGGCTTGACGGTTTAGTGTGTTAGTTCATGAACGGCAAGCTAATTAATAACACCAGATTAACTTTATTTATTTTTTAAAAGTATCAAATTTCTCAAATTGCATTAATCTTGCTAGTCAATAACCACTAAGAAAATATATTACTCCCTCTCTTTCAAAGAAGATATTTTTTTATTTTTTATTAAGATTAAAAAATTATTGATTGTTATGTCATATTAGTATTTTTTTTTATTCACACTTTTCCAAAATATCCTCTTTTCTTTTAGAATTATATTTGAATTTTTTTTTGATAAAACGAACATTAATTAGAAGTATTTAAAAAAATCACTTAAGGGTTTAACTAAATAATTATTTTTTATCTACTCTACATGTTCCAAAAAAATTATCTATTTTGACTTTTCATAAAAATTATTATTTCTTATTTCTTTCGCTCTAAAGTGATAGTCTCATTTGATATTTTACATAGTTTAAGAAAATTATTAATTATAATATCATATAAGCATTTTTAACGATACTTTTCTAAAATACATTTCTTAATTTAAAAAGAAAATCTATTTAATTTAATCTTGTATTATAAAATAAGGGTATTTTAAGAAAGTATAGTATCAAAAACTTTGATTAGACATGTATTTTAAGATATATATAAATAGAAAGAATATTGGCAATTTTTTTCATACTTTCCTAAAATATATTATTTGTTTAAAATTGTTAGTTATCAAAATTAATTTTTCATTATATAGAACCAATATTAATTTAAGCAAAAAACCTATTCAAACTTAAGCTAGTAAATCAAAAGAAAAATAATCAAGTTTATTAACAATCAAATTTAAAACAATGATGGAAAAATAATATACTAATAAAAATATCTTATTTTCAAAATTTCAACATATGATGTAAAGTCCCTCGTGCAATGAATATTTTTCATGTAACTATTTTATTTTTTTTGAAATTTTTATGTTAAAACAAAAAATGAGAAAAAAGAATTGATTTTTTTAGCAATTAGAAATATCTTGTGAAAGTGTGTGTTTTTTGACAAGGCAAGTATTTTTTATATATATATAAATTAAATAAATAAAAAAGAATAACATTTTTGGGACAAAGAGTACTGGGCATACGTTTTGAACCAATTTGGAAACCAAGTATTTAGCTGCTAAACATTCTCTGTTTTTCTTCTTTTTCACTCATAAACATGCTCTCCATCGATCAGAACCATTTTCCTCTCTCCAAGTAAATTGGACAGCCAACAATCCACACCCCCATAAACAACTAGACCCTGCTCGAACCTCCACACTCCAGCCCCTAGTGTGATCTGTCCAGCAAATGGGTTTATGACACAACACCACCCCTCTCTCTCTCTCTCCCTCTCTCTCTCTCTCTATTTAAGCACATTTACATTTTCACTTCACTTTTGCAGCCCTCGAAAGTCCCACCAAAAGAAATGGACACCAACCCCTCCGATACCCCATCTGACCTTGAACATGCACCGTACACTCCCTTGCCGGACAACCCTTCTCAGGCGAGAATCAGGCGACCCTTTAAGGTCTTTGCTGCAATATTTGCATCGGTCATTTTCTTGCTATCATTGGTCACATTAATCATTAACCAAAGCCAAGAACCATTACCTGTCCAAAACCAAAACCGGTCACCTTCAACTTCAAGACCTACCAAGTCATTTTCTAAGCCGGAGCCAAGAGGAGTGGCTCAAGGTGTATCACCGAAGTCAAATCCATCCTTTTTCGGTGATAAAGTCTCCTATAATTGGACAAATGCTATGTTTTCATGGCAAAGAACTGGCTACCATTTTCAACCTGAGAAAAATTGGATGAATGGTAGGTACAAACTATTAGTATTAATGCTTTACTTCTTCTTCTTCTTTTCTTGCTATAAATGGTAGGTAACATTGTACAACTCTTTTTTCCTTTTTTTTTTTTCTTTTTTTTGAATTTTCAAATAAATCTGTATTGATGTTTTGTTGCTTTCTCCTAATCAAATCTTAATTGTCATTTCTTTGTTTCTTCTTCTCATTATTGCTGGGGATTCTCTTTGATTCTGCTGCCTCAGATCCTGACGGTACGTTCTTTCCCTATATATATTGCATCTGTTTTACTTTATTATTTGCTTACTATATTTGACCACATTGTTCTTGGTAGTGTCTATAATATACTCTTTAACCTCTACTAGCGTGTGCTTAATTGATATTAAAATATGACTAGATTGGCCTAATCGTGTAAAAGTCACGTGTTTAAGACTTTGGATCTAATTAATTATAAATTAGTCCCTCCTATTTCTAGAAACAAATTAATTAGTTCTTCTAGTTTCAAAACCCAATCATTTAATCCTTTTTGCTATTTTTTGCTTTTTTTTTTAAGAAATAAAAATAATAAGTAAAAATTATTAAAAGAATATATTTAATAAAATAAAAAAATATTAAATTAATGTAGTCAATACTGGTTAAAAGTATTAAGTAATCAGATTTTGAAACCAAGAAGATTAATTAATTTGTAATTTACTCATCTAATTCTATCAAAGTCTTTTTTTTTTTTTTAAGAATCTAATTTTGATATACGAAAACTGACTAAAATTTTGATAAGAGGATAAGATTATTATTTAAAAAATAATAATAATATTCAATAATTTGTTTATTGTAAAAAATCAAATGCAATTAGATGGATGGTCTATCTCTAGAGAGTAGGTTTTTTTTTTTCCTTTCAATAATGCTAGAGACTAGTTGATCCAAAAAAACTTTATATATATATTGTTTGTTTCATTGGCTCAAAATAATGCACATGTGAGGGTTGGCAACCTATAGTCCATGTAACAACTTGGGATTTGATGATACGATCATGTGATCCATGCCTTGCAATAATTTGACTTTGTTATTTAGAAAATCTTCGTCCATATCGTGTAGAAAGGGAAAGAATAAGATTGGACAACAGATATTGTCCAAATACGTAGTACAATATTTTGGCAACAGCTAACTTTCTCTCATCACCACACAAACTCCACAGTTAATAAGGCATAAAAAAATTTGGCCAAGAAAATAAATAAGGGACAAAATAACTTAATGAGTAATTTAATAATTTTTTTTATTTTATAAAGTGTATTTTTTTCTCATCTATCTTTTCATATTTTCATTTATTTTTTATTTTTTTTATATATATATTTTTAAAAAAACTAAATAAGTAGTTTTTTAAAAATAAAAACATTAATTAATTTTTTTTCGAAGCAAGAGGGACTAATTTATAATTACTCATAACTTAATAGTGGTGAAAAAAAAAAAGTGGTGTTTTAAAAGTTGTCGAATCAGGATATAGTTTTTATTCCAATTAGATGACTGATATGCTGGATGGGGTCAGTAGGGTCTGCAAGTGAACCTGCTCGTACATGATGATGTGTGTGCATACGTTCATCTTATTTTCTAGGTGAACCGATCAAGAACAAGTTGTGCTTTCTCATTTTTTATATATTAAAAAAAAAATTAGAGAAACTAATTTATAATATTAATTATAAAAAGAGTAATGGTTATTAATTAGAAAATTTTAGAATATGATGCTGTAGTTATCATATTTATTCTCATGTTTATAATTTTAGAATAAAATAAAATAAAAACCATCAATTACAAAGTGTTACGTTAGTTAATTAAAAATATTAATATATTTATATTATTATTTTATATAAAATGAAAAACAACCTAATGTTTATTTTCTTAACTGAAATTCTACAATAATGTCTCATCCATAGATTTAAAAAATGATCGTTATATGATATAACGATTGTTATATTACAGTTTTGAAATATCATGTTATTATTATTTTAATATTATAATAAGTTATAATTCGTGAGGATAATTATGATTGTTTTTTAAACTATTTATAATTTAAAATTATGGCCTATGCTCGTAAATTGAAACTAAGATTATGAAATATAGTCATGGTGGATTTTGAGTGAAGTGATGAGCTTAGAAACACAGAATTTTTTTCATCAAAATATTGGAGAAGGAATGGGCGCTATCTCTTTGACCGTTAGCTAGCTCAACTTGGTTTGGTGCAACACTAGAAGTTATGGTAGCGTCAAAAAGTAGTTTGCTAGCATGTGCTTCATGGTGGAGGAAAACATTGTCTGCATGCAGGTCCATTGTTTTACAAGGGATGGTACCATCTGTTCTACCAATACAATCCTGATTCAGCTACGTGGGGCAACATTACATGGGGCCATGCCGTATCAACGGACCTGATTCACTGGCTGTACCTCCCGCTTGCGATGGTCCCCGATCACTGGTATGACATAAATGGCGTGTGGACAGGATCCGCTACTCTCCTTCCCGATGGTCGGATTGTGATGCTTTACACTGGGTCGACCAATGAATCAGTGCAGGTACAAAATCTTGCATACCCTGCAAACCTATCTGATCCTCTCCTTATTGACTGGATCAAATATCCGAATAATCCGGTTATAAAACCACCAAAAGGAATCGAAGCCGATGAATTTAGAGACCCGACAACAGCATGGATGGAACCGAATGGGACGTGGCGGATCACAATCGGGTCAAGACACAAAAAAACTATCGGTATTTCACTCGTGTACCAGACTTCTGATTTTACAACCTTCAAGCTGATGAATGGAGTGTTGCATGCGGTTCCGGGTACGGGTATGTGGGAATGTGTGGATTTTTACCCGGTTTCAGTAAACGGCTCAACTGGATTAGATACGTCTGCCAATGGACCGGGTACCAAACATGTATTAAAAGCTAGTTTGGATGACACAAAGAGAGACCATTACGCACTTGGGGTTTATGACCCGGTAGCCGATAAATGGACCCCGGATAATCCGAAAGAGGATGTGGGTATTGGGTTACAGGTGGATTATGGAAGGTATTATGCATCAAAGACATTTTATGACCAAAACAAGCGGAGGAGGATCTTATGGGGTTGGATTAATGAAACTGATACTGAAACTGATGACCTTGCCAAGGGATGGGCCTCTGTTCAGGTATTCTTTATTTAATTTTTTACTGCATACTTGATTTCCTGAGCAATTTATCCCTTTCAGGTGTCACTACAGTAAAATTTATTGAAATCGTAAGTTTTTAACCATTGAACTGTCTTTTTGAAGACAGGTAAAATTTATTTTGAGGAAATAAAAATTGCTACGTATGTTGTTCTGCAGACAATTCCAAGGAACGTGATATTTGATAACAAGACTGGAACCAATATACTTCAATGGCCAGTGGAAGAGATAGAGAGCTTGAGATTGAGAAGCACTGAATTTAGAGAGATTGTGGTTGGACCTGGTTCAGTTGTGCCACTTGACATCGGACAGGCGACACAGGTTTGTTCACTCTTGTCTTAAACTTGTACGTTACATCGTTTTTGTCACATTGTATTAATGTTTTCTTTACAATTTTGGCAGCTAGACATATTTGCCGAGTTTGAACTAGAGATTACATCGGAGACAAAACCTGAAAATTACGGTTGCCGTGGTGGGGCTGTAGACAGGAGTGCTTTGGGACCATTTGGTCTTCTAGTCATAGCAGACAAAACACTTTCAGAGCTGACACCTATATTTTTCAGGCCTGTTAAGACAATTGAGGACACTGTCAAAACTTATTTCTGTGCTGACGAAACAAGGTTTGTCTCTTAACTTCCTTGTTGAATTCAATTATTTAAAAGAAATTCACTCTAGAGGATTGGTCTAGTAGTTAAGGAAGTTGTTCTCTTTCTTAGACCTTTTGGGTTCAAATCTTTGAGTCTTAAATTCCTCTAAATGTATCCGGGTGATGGAGGAGGTGTAATTTTAAGATCGTCTGAAAAGAGACTTAATCTCGATTGACATACAAACTCATCAGGATGATGTAGGAGGTGTACTCTTAAGATCGTCTGAAAAGAGACTTAATCTCGATTGACATACAAACTGATCCGATAATATCTTTATTGTCGAACAAAAAACAATATAAATTCAATATTCTGACTAAGAGATTGTGTCATAAACTGATAGGTGTTGCTTAATGCAGGTCAACAAAAGCTCCGGATGTTTTTAAACAAGTTTATGGAACCACAGTTCCTGTGCTGGCAGACGAAAAGTTTCAAATGAGGGTATTGGTAAGGGAGATAAATTAGCTTCATGATTCCTAAATTACTAATTAATGGGAAAAAAAATAGAAGTTAAAGAGGTTTATGAGAATTACATAGTGCTGATTCGTGAAATTTTTTATGCAGGTCGATCATTCAATTGTTGAAAGTTTTGGTCAAGGAGGAAGGAGAGTGATAACGTCAAGAATTTATCCAACAGAAGCAATTTTTGGAAATGCAAAGTTATTCCTATTTAACAATGCAACTGGTGTGAATGTTAAGGCCACACTCAAGATATGGGAATTGAATTCTGCATTTATCCATCCTTTTCCATTTGACCAAATTAGAATGGAATAGTACTGCTACTTGTCGATCCAATTGAGTCTAATGTATTTTATTCTTTCTTTATTGGGTTAATAGCTTACATTTCCTTTTTTATAATAGATCAATTTTTTAATATGTCTCTTAAAAAAGGTTTTCAATCTATTTTTATATTTTAAGTTTATTTCTAATATATCATTCAGATCAAAATTTTCGACTAATTTCATAAATTAATATTTATATCAGTAGATATAAATAATTTGTGTCAATAACAAAAATAATTTTATCAAATCACATATCATATGTTTAATTTGACCTAATTTAGTTAGAAATTTTAGTTAGAATGATATATTAGAAATCATCTCAAAATATAAGGACATATTAGAAATAGGTTTTTTTTTTTGAAAAAAAACGGATTAAAAAATTAGCTTATTATGTATAGATAAGTGAGGGTATTGAGCTTTATTCTTTTATTGTTTCATTTTGATTGTAAAAAAATGTGAAAATCTTGAGGCAACCAAATGAGCTAGTATTTACATATATAATTATTTTTTTTTGGTTTTTTAAGTTGTACAAGCTGGATTTCTTTATGAATAAATTCACAATTTTGAAATTTGTAGCTGCCAATTTTTGCAAAGACTAGAAAAACCAGATTAGAATGTAGTTGTACAACTCATGGCTGGAAATGAAATGATAATTTCCTTCTCTCATCTTTGTATATTACCAACTAAATCAATAAATTTCGTTTCAACTCATTATCATTTTTTTTTTTAGGACTTAAAAGATATAGGCCTGAGTTCATGGTGGTAAGAAAAAGTAAGAATTTTTTTTCATTCATTGTATTCAATATTGTATTAGTTCATCAATAATAAGGATAACAATTTCTCACGAAATAAAATATTATAATTTTGATTAAAATGAATTTTTTGTAATTTTTTGATATTCTTAGACTCCTAACATATATTTTATATTCAATTGGCATGAAAATTCTATTCTATTCTTATTTGATTTTTAATTCTTGAAGAAACTAAATGAGGCCCAAAACGGAATAAATGGACAAAGCTATGAACAAGGGTCTTTACTTGGGCCAATGAGACCGGACTGCCTCAATCATCTATTGGGCCATTGGCAATTCAGAGCCTATATTTTGATGAAATTGTTTTTGGGACAACAATTTTACTCGGAGTCTATTGGGAAGCAATTAAGCTTTGGGATTTTCATGTTTATCCTTCCTCATTGAAGATTGTCTTTGTAATCTTTGTCCACAAAATCAATTGCCTCGAGAAGGATACCCTTTCCACGCCTGTAACTTTCAAGGGACTAAATTTATGGATAGAAGTTGGTGAATTTATGAGCAAGAATAGTAGTTTCAATAGCAGGAGGACGTAGTTTTAATCATTTTAATTAATAATTAACTCTTTGATTATCTAACATAATAAAAAAAAGATAAAATATATTCAAAAATAAATATTTTGGTATTTAAATTAGGATGCTACTAAATTCACCAATAAAATTGTTATTTCCACCACTTTTTTCAAAAAATTATCAATACGCCCTCCATCAATATTTGTTATATAATAATTATTTATAATGGATGAAAGATGTGTTGATAATTATATTAAAAAAATGGTGAAAATAACAATTTTATTGATGAATTTAACACTATTTTTTAAATTATCCAAATTGATAGCATAAGTTTTATTTTATCGTAATTCTAATGGTTTGATGGTAAATTATATCAATGTCAATTGAGTATGAAGCAAAGAAGTTATTCAAATCATATCAAAATTAAACATTACCAAACCAATGGGAAAGACCCTAAACAATGCAATGTTGCCCCATATTTTGCGTTGATATAAAATTGATTGGCCACATATGAAAGTCTTCCTTCTTCTTTTTTCCCCCTCTTGGAGCAATAGAATAATTGGATTCGTCACCAATTAGGCTTAGTCGAGACATATACAAGTTCAAGAGGCCTAAATATCATGTCAAAGTGGTTGAGAATAAATTTTTTGAGCTTGTAATTTGCACCAAATCTGAAATGTTGAGGCAGAAAGTGTGATGTGCTTCCCTTCAATAAATTTTATAATATTAAAGATGTAATTAGTGGATATGTATAATAGTTATTTTATAGACCTATTTTTAAAAAGAAAGACAAATCCATATATATATATATATATATATATATATATATATATATCAAAAGTTGTGGGAAGATTTTTTCGTTCGTTCAATTTTTTTTATTTTCTCTCCCTTATTTTTTATCTATTTTTTTATAGAGTAAGTAATACATATGTTTACTTATTAATTCTTGAGTATTATAAATTTTTTGAATATTATACATATGTTTACTGATTACGAGTATTATAAATTTCTAGCTTCCCTTCTACAAATGATGCTAAATTCCTTGATTATGTCAGGAATGCAGGTAGACCGTTAGACTTTGGCATTTCTCAAGAACTTTAAATTAAAAAAAAAAATGCAGATTCTAAAACTGAATTGACTTATTTCAGTTGTTGCCACTTTGTCAGGATTAATACAGCCATTTGGGGCTTGATTGATGGGCAATATTGCCTCTGCACCTTGGCCATATGCACAACGAATGCTAATATATTTTTTTATATATATATAAAAATTCTGCAAAGAAGCCATTTTGTCATTGTTCATCTTATTTACATTCTTATCCACAGCATATATCATTTTTTATTGTCTTTTTTTTTTCCCCTGCCGTTACGAACATGCTCTGACCAACTTTATTGGCGAAGTGGATGTGGATCTGGGTCTCTTTTACTAAAGAGGTTTGGTCGGCATCTCAAAGAACTGGTAATTATCGCGTACGAGGTGGGTGACATTTAAACTTTTGTTATTTTTCAGAAATTATATAACTAGCTTGTAGAGATATAATATTATGGTACGAGCCCAAAATAATTATCACGGTTACGCAAAACCACCCGCAGATTCATAAAGGAAAGAACAAGGCAATAAATAAACTTCTTCAAAAGAAGATATATTCGTCTGTATGTATATAATATTTAAAATCTTATATTTATATTTAAATGTTTAATTACATTTTATATTTTTTTTAAAAATAAAATTTTTAATCTATTATTCTAATTAAATTTTTCGATCATGAAATTTTTTTATCAAAATATTTTTTTACTAAAATATGAAACAAAACAAAAATATTTAAAATTGCGTGACTTACATATTTTATTTTTGAAGTCTTGAGAAGTTTTATTTTATTTTATTTTTTATTTTTTGCATTTTAATCGAAGTATTTTCGATCAAAAAAATTATTTGTCTAAAAAAATTGATTGAAAAAATATATTAAATGTATCAAATACTTTTAAAGATAAATGAGATACAATTAGAAACTTAAAAATACATTAAAGACTTTCAATATTAAATAAAAATAAATAGATATATTTACTCTATATTAAAAATATCGACAAAAAATAAATGTTGTTCTTTTGCAACAAACAATAAGAATATATTTAGAATACTTTGAGTGTCAATCGAAATTTAATTTTTTAAAACGATTTTGAAAACTACAATGTGTTTAAAAAAATTAATAAATTTTTTTAAATGTTAAATCTAAAATTTAAAGCTAAATAATTAAAGAATTGAACCAATCTCGTTAACTATTAAATCACCCCCTTCACGTTTAACAATAAACATTGTGAATAGGTAGCGTCTAGAGACACCAATAAGTTTCCTCTAACTCCCATGTGCAAGTTAGTTGTTGCCCCAAGAAATCAAATTCAATAGAGAAGACCGACTTGGTGAATTATTTAATCGTGGTTAGTTAGTTCTACTTTTGGTGGTCGATTTTCCAATAGTCCAAATTAATTAATTAATTAATTATATATATATATATATATATTGCAATGACTTCATTAGCACATGGAGCACCTTCAAGAATAGCTAGAGCCAAAATCATGTTCAATGCATTTTGTAGCTGTCACTTTTTTTCCACGTCCAAAAATGGAAATTTGAGGCTGAATTAGAATATTCTAACCCATGCAATCTCAAGTGCATTAAGGTCGGAATTTTAAAAATCGAATGTCTAATGTGGAATCACAGCAAATCATTCTTGCAAAGAAAAGTCCTCGCATGTTTTGTGATAGAGGGGATAGGATTCAAGGTGGCATCTAAAGGGTCAAATTATGATCAAGGTGATTAAAGCTAGCAAGGATAATTAGCATAATCTAATTGCACGTTTTGCTAAAAACATGTAATCAATGAAATCTGATTGGAATTCAATTATATTGTCATTTAATTTGTCTCAATTTACTTCTTCTACCCTTTTGGAAAAGTTCATCAAGTTTTGGCTACGTGAAGGGACACCCTTTTTTCTCTTTGATCTATTTTATTTGTAAAGTGAGTAGAATTTGATCATGGGTGACTTCGTATCATGGCCAGTCATTTTTTTTTTTTAGTATTTGATGGTTATGAGGTATTTTTTTCGAATTAAATTTGTGTATAATAAGATTAAATTCATTTTTATTTTTAAGTGAATTGGATGTATCACATGCTCTTCGAGAAAAAAAACACGTCTTAAATTCAAATATATTCGAATATAGGTCGGATAAATAAGAATTTAGTGGTGTAATTATTAAACTACATGATAAAAAAACAAATATATAATGAGATCAATTCTATATTTTTTGTTCACGTGATATAGACTATTAATGTCACTATAGAGGATTTAAAACAAATATATAATCCTATCTTAATTTTGAAATTGAATGTTCTTGAATGATAAAATTAAACATATATCCATTTATCAAATGATTATTTCTCAACCAATAACTTATTGGTTCGATGATAAGTGAGTTGATTTTTAAATAATTTTTTTTTTTGTTATTAATATACAAAATTCAAATCTTAAAATCTCATTGTTTAAAGAATTCAAACCCCATCGCTCATATGCAAAACATGATCAATGATCTATCTCTAATTCTAATATGAAATGGTGTGAAGAAAAGGGAAGAGTTGTTATTTTAAATCTATACGAGTGTTAGTTACAAAGAAGG